TAAAAGAGACTGGCTCAATTTCCCAGGTCCCAAATCCAAAAATCCTAGGCAAGGGACTCATTGGGCCTCATGTTCATTCCTGAACCAGTTAACTGTGGCCAGGTCATGAGGTGGCACAAGAACATGCCAGCTTCATCTCAAGAACTGAATGTGGCAAGGTTCCTAGAAGATGGGAGGAGGGTATGTTGAGCAGAGAATCCCATATACAAACACTATAGGGTAAAACACTGGGAAGAAAGCTCCCTCAAAAGATCCATACTTAATCTTGAACCAGATAAAAGCAGCTCTGAAATGCTGAATTCTTATTCTTCAGTGTCATGGATCTTACTTAACACTTTGTTGCCAGCTGTCAGAGCACATCATGATGCTTCAGAAACCCATAGAAATAATTAACAGAGTCATAACATGGGCTTTCATAAAGGGAAGTCCAAGGAAAAAAGTAGTTTCTACAATAGTAAAGTAGTATTATCATAGTAAAGCCGCTAACCCATATGGTGCCTTTCTGCAGTTTCCAGAAGGGACCCTTGAATATAAGCTGAATTTTCAGTTCATATCCACCCCTCAGTCAGTCAGTTACCACTACACAGCTATATATAAAAATCCTACTAAGTACTAATTTAGCTATTCAGAGTATAAGTGGATCTGGAAATTGCTGAGTGACAAATACATACCTATATCAAGAACTGTGAAGGATATGAGTGTTACCCTACTTGCAAGCTAACAACTTAGCCTGGGACAATTTCATAGATACTGGTTTTCAAACACAAAGGACAGTTGATTACTCACAGCAATAGCAGTAGCCATAGTAACATCATTTGCACTACTTCTCTGAGCTCGTTTCCACAGGATAACACAGTGCAGGCTAGGTGATGACTGTACATGCAGTGTATTGCTGTACAGGAGAGGAACCTGAGTATAGAAGATCCCAGTCTTTTATAAGGGGCTGTTGGCAAACCTGTCCCTCCTTTGCCCCAGAGGGAAGCATTTATCTGTTTCCAAAGGCTGCCTTGAAAAGATTTTCAAGAGCAAAGTTATAATGCTTTTTGTTCAAAAGATGTAAAGAATCGTGAGCAACCTGTAGAGAATTGTTCTCCAACAGCAGGCTCAGGGGAGGGTAAGAGGAAGGAGGTAACATTTGTGTCCCTAGAACAAGGGTCAACAAACTTTTTTTGTAAAGGACTGTCTTGCCAATGGGTTTCAGCCCTGGGCAAATTCGCTATGGATTCAGTGTGACCAGAGAAATTGACAGCAAAATGTTCTTTGGGGTAAAAGGGTTATACCCAACTTTATTTCCAGGTGGCAGGTCAGTCACTAGAATCCCATGCACTCAGAACGAGTCTGTATGCAGCAAGTCAGTCTCTGCTTCTGGGCCTCTCTGTCTGCACAGCCATCCTCTGGGCCCCAGCCATCCTCTGGGCCCCTCTGTCCGCACAGCCATCGTCTGGGCCTCTCTGTCTGCATAGCTGTCCTGCACAGCCATCTTCTGGGCCTCTGCACAGTCATCCCACACAGCCATCCTCTGGGCCTCTGTCCTCAGCACTGCCACCACTCCAGCCTCTACTCTGCTCTCCTGCAGCCTTGCAGCCCTGCTACCATATCATGCCCAGAGTACTGGGAGGAGCTCTTTTTATAGAGTCAACAGCCATATATTGCCCACAGGTGTGCAGTGAGCTAGTCAACCATGGCCAGGTGAGAATCCTGGCCACAGGAACTCTCATTTTATCCACAAGGACCCAGATAGTAAATATGTTAGTTAGGCATGGCAACTACTCAGCTCTACCATTGTAAAGCAAAATAGCAGCCATCGTGTGAATGAGTGAGTATGGCTGTGTTCCAATAAAACTATAAAACAGTCAGCAGGCCAACTTTGGCTTATGAGCTGCAGTTTGCCAGCCCCCACCCATAATGATCTTCTTTGCTCAAACTTGTTCAGTATCTACCTTTCTCCTTAAAAACTTGAGGCCTCATTTTCACAGCCCAAACTAGATAATTATATAATTATTTTATTGTCTTTTACCATTTTTTTTACATTTAATAAAATTAAAGATAGGTATAAAATGTGAACTCAAAAGAGCCATTCACACTGTTTAGCATCTTGGAATATAAACAGCCACAGATTATATCTATGTTTCTGGACTATAGATACCTAATATGATGTACAAAACGTTGAACTGCAAGCTTGCCTTCCTGTCAGGATTAATTGTATTACACATGGAAATTGAAGGATTTATGGAACCGACTTATTTTTATTGAACAAAGTATTACCTATGTAGTTCTTCTAAATTTTAGAGGAGGTTGGCTTATATGACTTGTATGAATATAGAAAACAGGTTAAAAAAAATGAAAACATTTTCAACTAACCCCTTTTTGTAGTTAAAAATATATATTATTACCACAAAGTGCCATTTATGATGTCATTTATTGTAGAAGAGAACGTAGACCTCTGTGTATCATCACAGACAACCTTTGAGGATTGTTTGGGAGTATTTTTTAGATGTTGAATTCATTAGCGAGTGCTTCTTGAATTTGGTTGAGTGTAGAAAGGTGTAGAGAGCATTATACTATTTTTCTTCCTTTGCACATCTCTTGACATCTTTTAACTACTGTAATAAAGGTGCAGAATTTTGAAATAAGGTAGGAAAAAAAACATTTGGACCATCTGTCGCTGAATTAGATTGACAGAAAGAATCAATAAACCAACCAAGACATGTTGATAGCTCTTAAATGACTTCAGGTGTACCTTTTAAGTACTTCATGTGTCATTTAGAGTGCTAATTCCTGGCTGCTTGTAAACCAACACCTGCTTCTGTTCTGATTTTCTCATACTACTGTAACTTCCCCCCTCTCAACTTTGAATTTTACTTCCCCATTTTATATGTAGCCCAAAGTATGAGTTTTTATAGAGGTAAGACTGGCTACATGAACATTTAATGATTTAATGAAAATTGTGTTATTGGAACAATGAAAAAAAATTTCATAACTGGTTACTGGCTCCATATGCTTATCATTTAATTAAGGAGATAAATATAAGACAGTGAAAAACATAATCGTCCAATTAAGGGCTTGTGTTTAAAGTGGACTGTCATAGCCTCCCTGACTTGGGATTTATGGGGAAAAAGTATTTTTTCTGAGTGTAAATTACTAAATATAATACACACACATACTTTTGCAAGCAACACACATACACACATACATACACATATTCTGTGTCTGTTTGCTTTTTATAATGCTTACTGTATCTTTGGATGAATGTTCACCACTAATAATTTGTTGGGTTATGCTCATAAACCCTACAGAATTTCTAAAGGAAAGAGAACTTAGTGTGAGTGTTGAAACAAAACAGTTTTGAAAATAATTTTTACAAGGAAAAGAACCTAAACATCAAAGTGAAAGTGCTTTGAAAATGTTAAATGTTAGACTGTTGTTACCATTATCAAAGGCCAAAGTAGAATGTATAGGCTAGTTGCCCCATTACTCTATATAGCCAGTTTTTTTAATTTACCCAATTATTTATTATATTTTACAAATGAACTCTGCTATGTATTTTAAAGATTATTATTTTAAATTGCCCATCCTTATAAGTTGAACTTTTAGAGAATGAAAACTGTATTTTAATGATGCTTACAAGGCACTTTATCATTTTGTATATGTGACATATATATCATTTTGTATATATTTAACCCTTGGATTTTTGTTGATGATTTATATTATTAATACTTTTACTAAGTGTTTAATGTCATCAGGTATCAGTGGCATAGTGAACATGCTGAAGAGGTTAACTTACACTCTCACAGTTACAAATAGACAGCCTAGTTTGTGAGAGCGCACTTGTTAGGAAAAAATCTTGATTAGGCCTGTTTAATTACAAATTGATTTTTTTCAAAAAGCTTGTCCATGTCTGGTCAAACCACATGCAATACTTTGATTTGAATGGAAAGATAGCTACCACGTGGTTTTAGAATGGATTGTGTTTCTTCATTTAATATGCTGCCTCTGATTCCACTGAAGACTGAGAGAAGAATTTAACTAAAAGTCAAAAGTTCAATGGAAGGAAAAACAGACAATTATCCAAGGAAATATTGGTGGGGAACAGGGCAGGGAGGAATGAGGGACACTGTTTTGCCAAATAATTGAATCATATTGTAGAGCTATATAAGAAATAAAACAATCTGGTACTGGTTTAACAGCTCAGTCAAGGCCAAAAAATGTCTCCAAGTACACAAATAATTGACAGATCATTAAGGAAGGGCTAATCATCAAATCTTGTACAGACAAGCTGTTAATTATTTGGAGAAAAATAATTAAACATTAGGTCAGTATACCTAAATCAGTTCCATATAAATTCAGAACCTTGAAAGCACTGGAAGAAAATGTGAGTAGATACCTGATCTCAAAGTAGGGAAGATCTTTTTAATCATTAAATCAAAGAAACTACCTTAAAGGAGGGCATAGTCTCCAGTGTACAGTGAAAGAAATTGAAGGAGAAAAACTTCAGGGAGTCCAATCCAGATTGGAAATGAAAGTACAAAATGTTCCGTTCCTTATTGGCAGTTGGTACTATCTTACAGTTCAAATCCCTGAGAAAATCAACTGACAAATGATTAAAACTAATAAGAAAATGAGCAAGATGCCCCAGTATGTGTGCTTAGGGAAAAAAAACTAGCAGAAAGTCTATAAACTCTAAAACAAAATTGAATATACTTATATAACTGAAATTCTTCTTATTAGACATATGTTGTCAAAATATTTTAATATATGTTTACAGAATACAGAAAAATTTTTGGTACTGTTTTGAACATATTTACATTTTTATATAATTTCTGGCAATACTTAGGTGTGTGATGTCCTACTAATGTTTATTAGTATATAATTTGTATTTACAACTTACATAATACTTCAGAGAAAACACGAGCTAAATATCATAAAGTCTTACGTATTTTCTAAGAATTAATAACTGTATTCACCAGTTGATCTTTTTTTCTTTTTCCAATGTGCCATAGGTCAGTACTCCTGTCTTTGCACCAGTGAAAACTCATGTGCTGCTTCACCGAATGAGTGGAAAAGGACTAGCTGCCCACTATTTCTTTCCAAGACAGCCTTGCATTTTTGGTGATACGATGGTCTCTGTACAAGTAACATTGAATAATACTACTGATCAAAAGATAGAAAATATCCACATAAGGGGAAAAAAACTTCCCATAGGCATGCAAATGCATGTTTTTAATCTAATAGGTAAATATTAATTCTCATTTAAAACTTTATATTTAATAAGTAAGAGTATTCATTTTAAAAGTAAAGTAGATGCATATTATTTTATTGACTGTTACCATAATCAGTTTATATTTGTTTTCCTTTTTACTCTGAATTTGTCGTAAGAGGTGACAACATGTCTTTGCCCATAGTGCTAGCAGTGGAGGACAGGACCAGCACTGATGAAAGGGTGGGTGTGAAGAATCACAGTTGCCTCCCAGTCTGCTTGTCTGCGTCGCCTTCCCCCTTCCTGTCTTCCTGTTCAAGTTCACTTCCTGTGTGATTTTAGTCTGCCTTTTTGAATACAGTACCTAATACCCTTTCCTTTGTAATTTGGTAATTAAAACACCATTTAAAGAATATAGAATATCCAATTTGTGTTCTTTTTTATTGCCTGAAATCCAACATTTTTTACTTGGTTAGAAAATTAGGTTAGTTTAATAAGTGTCAAGCACCTGATATATGAATTGTCTGAAGGTTGAAAATGTTATCCAAAGGTTAAAACAGTAGAACAGTATTAACATTTCTTTGAACTGGCATATTGAGTTGATGAGTTGACCTTTTGTTGGCTTATGTAGAATAGAAGAAATAAATAGAATAAATTTCAGAGTATGGCCTTAACACAGAAACAAAATAGAAATGTATACCTTTGCTTCAATACTAGTAATAGGCTTTTCTTTCCTTAGGCAAATTTTATGACTGTGATGTTTCATTCATTTTGTTGTCATTTATTGAATATCCTCAAGAAAAAAGTTCTTTCTCATGTAGTATGTATTTGCATATAAACCTACCTCCTCTCTTTTATTAATAGATTACAGCAAAGTTACAGACTATGATACATCTTAATTAGTCCAGAAACATCATAAGAATGCAACAAAGAACAAATGCTGTATTTTCATGTTCTTGTGAAATGAGAGAAGTAAAAGATTAGTTTTATTTAATAAGCACATATATGTATGTTAAGGAGTCCAGCAGCTTTCTTACTTGTCACCAGTCTGTTTTCTTTTTGTCTATAATATGTGATGACTTTTGTCTGAATTTTGCCCTACCTTTAGCATGAGACTGGATTCCTTTTAAGAATATTAGGAATAGTATGCCATTTTTCCCAAAGAGACCAAGTACATAAGAGATTTTTAAAAACAAAGAATAGCTTTAGACTCCCTGTACTATATTCAGTGACTATATGTTAACTATTGAGAAGTTTGAGTTCAGCTAAGATTTTACTAGTTACTATACAACTGTCACTTCAAAGTAGATGGCATCCTGTATAATTTCATTTTTCATTATTAATGATGCAGTATAAGAGAACTAGTGTTTTTCAACCATTTTATAGAACTCTCATATATAGCAGTGAACCAGAAGCAGTTTCCAAATACAGATACCTGACTGAGTAAACTTCCCCGATGTAGTAGGCTTCAAATGCTGTAAAAATCCATTGTATGAATAATTTTATGCTGATCACTTTGCTCTTGAAGCGTTCATATAATAAAACATGCCATTGATCATGAGCTGTCCTCCTGAATTAGCATGTCACTAGCTCACAGTTAATTTTCTTAAGACTGAAAATGGTAACCAAATTGTGTCAGTGAGTACTATCAACAAGGCATTTTGAGGTCTGTCACTTTGTCAAGTGAAATACAAGGATACATGATGCAGAGAGATCTAAATCATGAATGCCATCGTGTACCAATGTGTTGTCACCTGCAAGCAAGACCAAACCCAGTATGTCTGTGGCACAGAAGGAAACATTAAGGATTCACTAAAGAATAGCCTTGAGCAATGTGACGGACAAGAGCTGTGAACTGATAAGGTGTAGCTTTAGGAGAAATGCAAGAAAAGCATCATTAGAGTTATTTATGATAAACCCTTTTTGCAGAAGATTTAGGCAGCAAATCTTTTGGTACTTGGATAGCATCCTGATAAATGGTAGGTTTATAAACAGTGAAGTTCAAACTGGAACCAGCAAACCAATATATATACTACTAAGCAAACTAAAATATTTTAAAATCAGCATCAAAAAAGTACCCTCATAATGCCTCATCTTCGTGGAGTCTATGAGACATAAACAGCCTTCTTAATATGTTAATTAAGCTTACTGAATTACTCTTTTGTCTCATCTGTACCATCATCTCTGTCATGGTTAGCATTAGTGGCAAATCATACTTACCAACAAGCCCTAGAATAGGCACAGTCTACTGGATTCACGCATGCATGCTAAAATACAACTACATCTAGTAAGATACATCAGAATAGATAAAGCTAAATATAAACCTGCTGTACAGTATGGCTGCATTTATCCTGAAGACTACACAAAGTGAAATCAAAAGTGGATGGGTTCTATTTAAATATATAATATATACTTAAATACTTATACTACATAGGTATATATTTAAGATCCCCCATTATTCTCAAGTTGAGCCAAACATTGGAATCATAAGCAGAATAAAATTTTGTTGTTTGTCTTAAATGTTATCATTGTCAACTGAAAAACATCAGTATTGTATATTGATACAGTTACTTCCCGTATTTAGATAGTTGACAGATGAAGCTTCAGAATTGCCAAATCTATGTAAAGTGTCATTTTATTACTTGTTTTTTCAAGATAATCTAATCTGCCGCTCAAGCTTCTTTTAGTAATTCTTTGAATAATACAATAAGGCTCATAACTTTGGCTCCTGTGATGCCAGTGGTCTTGGTTAATTTCTGAGTACAACAAATTAATTTTTTTCTTCCAACTTTGCTTTAATTTGAATTTTAAATTTTGGATTTTTTTCCAGGGGAAATTTGAAACATTATTTAAAATGTGCTTTTTATATAGTTTTAAATACAGAGTTCTCTACATTTGTTCCAAACAGGAATACATTTACTTCCTTTTTACCTCCAATGCTTATAAAGATAGTATTATAAAATATGAAATTTCTCAGCATGAGATATGTTTCTGAAACAAAGAGATATAACATGTTCATTGAAACATATACAGAATTAAGGTAGCCTTCAAGCAGAATAGTGAAATTACTTTTAAAATTTGCTTTAATATTTTTGGTATGAAAATAGTCTTACAAGCCATCATTAAATTTGACTGGTTTAGCAAAACTGCAAAAATTACATAAATATTCACTGTTTAGTTTGCCTATTTTTCACATCCTCCATGTTTGCATGTCTAAATTATCTTATTTCCTAGAATCTCTTGAGCCTGAGGGATCCGTTACTGTTTCAATGGGTATTGACTTTTGTGATTCTACTCAGACTGCCAGTTTCCAGTTGTGGTAAGTTCAATTGTTCTTCTGTATTTTATAGTGCCTGTAAGGGACAGCAGATCAAAAACAAGGCTTTCAACAGCTTTTTCTTTGAGAAACAAAACATTTAAACAAATGTGCTTTTCTTGGGCCATGTTTAGACTGATAGAATACTTGTGCAAATTGTGTATAATATGTATATTTTAATATCTGTTAAACAACTAGCCAGTACAGTCTTTGTGATTGAAATTCATACTTTATTGGTTAAAGTGAGAAGCTACTGCTAAATAGTTTTTTTACTTAATCTTTACGGTCTTGGAATATCAATGAGAAAAATTCAGGAGAAATTAAAAACTAATAATATTGAGTAGCCCAGAGAAAAGTTATTTTGAAACATTTTGTGTTATCTTGAGCCTTTTAAGTGGGAAATTACTGTTTCTGTCAGTACTTAAAACCCAAACGTTTTGCCCTTTTGAACTTTAATTTACAAACTGCTTTTGGTAAAACTCAAAAAGTTGGCAGAGGTTTCATAGATCAATGCTATTCAAGGGAGCTTTTCTAGGATTGGATTTTGTCATTTTTGTTTTTATAAAATGTTTTATACATTTCTGATGAATGCCAGAACTATTAGAAATTAATACAAAGCTATGATCATACATCTTTCAGAATAACCTTCCAACTCTTTTATATTTTCCTGATCAAGGATATGATTTATTTTTATTTGAAATTCCTTTGCTTTCATTCTAAAAAAATTGAGACATTTTATTTGTCTAAATTTTAGCTGTCTTTGAACAGAAGTTGTTATGATAAAAATCTCCAAGTTTAGGAAATAGACATTTTAAAATAAATTTGTACATTAAAGATAGTGAACCTATGTTGGTATGGGTGGGTAAAATAGATGAAGAGGATAAAGAGAAGAAAAAATAGTGAACCTTCCTTTCTTTTTCATACACCTTTGCAGTTTACCAGTAATTCAGACCTAGTATCGTACCATTTATTGCTGAGAACCTGCAATGATGAATATAAGCAATGTAGCATAACACATTGATTTTATGCAGATCATCACCTTTATGTTTTGGGAGGTCTGGTATATTAGTGATATATAAAAACTGATTACTTTTCCCAACATTGCCTAGTAATTGTTTATTATTTTTCTATTAGACAAACAACACAGATCAATATTACTGAGCACAAGACTATGAGTAACATCACTCTTAAATAGATTTGCCTCCAACACCAGAGGTGTATTCGTTCTAATGATTTCAACAATGTGAGCCCAATGACAAAGCTCATGCAGCACAAAGTTAGGGCAAAATTAAGAACTAAAAAATTTTGGTTTTCTTGTCAGTTTATACAAAGAATCTTTTATATTTCTATATAATGAGGTGGGGTTCTTTAGAACATATTTTCATTACAGAGTTTTCCTCTGTTGTCCATTGGACAAGTTTGCATTTTGTCATTCACAATAAATATGTGGGTAGTGTTGTTTGATTTGTATCCTACTTTGAGGAACATACGTAAACAATTTGTTCTCAGTTTCTCTTAAGCTAATTTTAGGAAAGTGACTCATTTATTTTACATAGAAAATAGCCTTAGCTGCTATTAGCATATAATAATATGTTTTTCTGTTGTGAAAGTATAAATTATTTATTTTAGATTTTATTAAGCATGTAAGCACACTAGATCAAAAAATTTGTTTTTGCATGTTCCAAAAAGAACACTTTGTCTTGCATCAAATGTAATTGATCCTGAAGCAATGTAATCACAATTACTCACTTTCTTAATTGGCCTGCCCAAAATCAGAAAATGGAAACCGATCGACAGTGTTTAAATCAATAGCTTCATAGTAGTGCTAGTGGGAGTAGGGAGATAGTGGTAATGGGTAGATCAATTGGTCTTAGATGCCAATCACTGACTGTGCCTTTTGCATAGTAAATAGCACTTTTTGCTTAGTGATGTGCTGTATTAGTCTTGGTAGTGCAATAAAAAGAGGGAAAAAAAGCAAGAATGGCTGATACTGAATTTTTTCCTTAAAATACATTATACAAATCAATACCTAAAATTATGGGTAATAAAAGCATATTTGATTAGCCTTCAGAAATGCCAAGAACATGGACTTACAAGCTTTTCACATATACTCATATTTATTAAAAGAAAAGAAACGAGTAAAATGATCCTACTTTAGCCTCTAGATTAATTCTGTATCATTATATGATATGTATATAGAGATAGAACAATTATATATATATAACTATATAGTTATATGGATACTTGATAAATATTAATGTCTCTTCTTTGCTTTGCATTTTAAATGGTGATCAAATTAAGTCCTTGTTTAACTTACTGAGATGGAAAATGTGTATAATATACATAAATGTATCTCTCTAAAAGTAGATGCAGTGCATAACCAGGTTTCATCAGAGTGGGGAGGGAGTGAAAGCACAGGACTGCTAAATAACCAGCCCTACTAATCTGCACCAGGAGCACAGTCACACATTGCATGGTGTACTGGATATTAGAGAAATGGAAAAATAAAATCTGAGACAGAGACAGCAAGAATGGGTCCCCACAGCTGGTTCCCCTGAGACAAAAGAAAATCCGGTGCTTTAAAAGTATTAAAGGGACAGGGTTAATGGACCAAATCATCTTGGCACACCCAGCCCAGCAGGCTGGGAATCTTAAGGAACTTCAGGCGCCCTAACCCCCAAGGGACAACGCAGCTCCAAAGCCCCTCACATTGATCAGCCTGCCATTCATTGCCCCCCACCGGCACTGCAATCTAACCACTGACCCTCCACTGCAGCAGAGCAGCTGGGAAACAGCCCTGCCCACAACAATCACACAGAGTCTATGCTCAGCACACAGCTAACCAGGCCAGACCCAGAGGCTGCCGCCAGCATGCAACTGTCCAGCACAAGCTGAGGAAGCTGGCACAAGGTTAGAAGGCATGAAGGGACACTGTTCTCACAGGAGAGCACACCCAGCGCATCTGCGACCCCCAGCAGTGACCTAGTCTATCCCAAGGGCTGCCCCACTGACAGCAGCACAGGAGATTAACCAGAGACTGCTTCTGGTGTGCAGGTAACAAGCACAGGCAGCGGAGAAGGGCAAGGTGACCAGCAAGCAGGAAGGGACTTTGTTCTCCCAGCTGACACACGTGCCATATGACGGTGATCACTTCTATTGCCATGAAAAGGCAGAAGAATCTGGTCCAGTCAAAACTCACTTGGACAACCCCAGAGAGAGTGCCTGGTGAGATAGATATAACCAATCTTCCTGAAAAAGAATTCAAAATAAAAGTCATAACCACTGATGGACCTACAGAGAAATATGCAAGAGCTAAGGGATGAAGTCCAAAGGGAGATAACAAAAATGGAACAATCAATAGAAGGACTTAACAGCAAACTGGATGAGGTGCAAGAGACTGTTAATGGAGTAGAAATAAGAGAGCAGGAATACAGAGAAGCTGATGCACAGAGAGATAAAAGAATCTCTATGAATGAAAGAATACTAAGAGAACTCTGTGACCAATCCAAATGGAACAATATTCACATTATAGGGGTGCCAGAAGAAGAAGAGAGAGAAAAAGGGATAGAAAGTGTCTTTGAAGAAATAATTGCTGAAACTTCCCAAAACTGGGGGAGGAAATAGTCACTCAAACCACGGAAGCACACAGAACTCCCAACACAAGGGACCCAAGGAGGACAATAACAAGACATAAAATAATTAAAATGGCAAAGATCAAAGATAAGGACAGGGTATTAAAGGCAGCCAGAGAGAGGAAAAATGATCATCTACAAAGGAAAACCAATCAGGCTATCATCAGACTTCTCAACAGAAACCTTATAGGCCATAAGAGAATGGCGTGATATATTTAATGCAATGAAACAGAAGGGCCTTGAACCAAGAATACTGTATCTAGCATGATCATCATTTAAATTTGAAGGAGGGATTAAACAATTTCCAGATAAGCAAAAGTTGAGGGAATTTGCCTCCCACAAACCGCCTCTACAGTGTATTTTAAAGGGACTGCTCTAGATGAAAGTACTCCAAAGGTTAAATAGATGTCACCAGATAAAATAAAATCACAGCAAAGAAAGCAGACCAACCAAATACTAAATAAAGGCAAAAAATAAAATCAACTATCCACAAAGGCAGTCAAAGGAAACACAAAAGAATACAGAATAAAACACCTAACATATAAAGAGTGGAGGAGGAAGAATAAGAAGGGAGAGAAATAATGAATCATCACACTGTCTTTATAATAGCATAATAAATGAGTTAAAGTTAAACGGTTACATAGTAAAGAAGCTAACATTGAACCTTTGGTAACCACAAATCCAAAACCTACAATGGCAATAAGTACATATCTATCGATAATCACCCTAAATGTAAATGGACTGAATGCACCAGTCAGAAGACACAGAGTAATAGAATGGATAGAAAAGCAAGGCCCATCTATAAGCTGCTTACAAGAGACTCACCTCAAAGCCAAAGACATACACAGACTAAAAGTCAAGGAATGGGAAAGATATTTCATGCAAACAATAGGGAGACAAAAGGTGTTGCAGTACTTCTAGCAGACAAAATAGACTTCAAAATGAAGCAAGTAACGAGATAAAGAAGGACATTACATAATGATAAAGGGGTCAGTCCATCAAGAGGATATAACCATTATAAATATATATGCACCCAACACAGGAGCACCGACATATGTGAAACAAATACTAGCAGAATTAAAGGAGGAATTAGAATGCAGTGCATTCATTTTAGGAGACTTCAACACACTACTTAACTCCAAAGGACAGATCAACCAGACAGAAAATAAGTAAGGACACAGTACACTGAAACATATGTACCTAACAGACATCTACAGAACTCTATACCCAAAAGCAGCAGGACACATTCTTCTCAAGTGCCCATGGAACATTTTCCAGAATAGACCACATACTAGGCCACAAAAAGAGCCTCAGTAAATTCAAAAAGATGAAAATTCTACCAACCAACTTCTCAGGTCACAAAGGTATAAA